CTTCTTCATCCAGTCATCTGTCGATGGACATTCAGGTTGCTTCCATGTCTTGGCTGTTGTAAATAGAGATGCTATGAATGCTGGGGTGCATGTATCTTTTCAAGTTAGCGTTTCCTCCGGATATATGCCCAGGATTGGGATTGCTGGATCATTCAAAGATTCCCATTCCTTCAACAAATAAATGGCATGAGAGGAAAAGGAGGGAGGACTGGTAGAGATTAAAAGAGGCTTAAGAGACATGTTAACCGAATGCAGGGCGAGGCCCTTGTTGGTTCCTGATAGCAGCAAAGTGGCTGTGGAAGACATCTTTGAGACAAACTGCCTCTCCAGAAGAGATCCACATGGAACTACTGACGGGGGAAATCATTTGTTGTCTGAGATTGCATTTAAAATACTTCAAAAAATTAAAAATAAACATGCACATGTATGGAAGGAAGGATAAAAGAAGAACAGAGCATGTGGTTAATTTTGGGAACCAACTGATGACTGTGTGGAGGTTCATTGTACTATTCTTCAGTGTGTGTTTGCAAACTTCCCTTATAAGAAGTCTTATTATAAAGAATTTCTAAACAATTATGCTGCCTCTTGGGTGGAGGACGTTTAGCAGCGTGTGGAGGAGGAAGAGTGAATTCCACGGCTAGACCTGTTTCCAAGGTCCGGGTGTGAGGTGGTGACGGTGTGTGGACACGGGTTGTGGGTTCCAGAACTCTTCCGAGGTGGAAGCCCGGGGGCTTGCTCATGTTATTTCATCTGAGACAGGCAACAGTCCTGTGAGGTCGCTCAGGCACACGACACTCAAGCCTCGCGTTAGAGAGAAGACTGGTGCGTACATCTAAGGGTCTTGTCCGGATACGCTCAGCTGGTATCAGCGTTGGAACTTGAACTCAGATCTTCCGACTCCCATCTTTATACCGTGCCACGCTGGGTACCAATTTCTTCCCTCCCTTGATTCATTTATTCACTTGACAGTTTCTTATCAGTCCTGTAATGTACAGAATTTTGGGCTAGGTGTGTGGGGGCTGCCTTACACAACGAGTGACATCACACGTGGTCCCTGCTCTCCTGGAACTCACTACTGCTCACCCCACTGACACTGCATCACACCACCTACTGCTGCATCAAACTGCTCATCACTGCATCCCGCCACCCACCACCGCGTCCCGCCACCCACCACCGCGTCCCGCCACTGACCACTGCATCGCTTGTGAAGAAAGTTGGTTCTCGGGCCATAAGGAGCAGATTTCTCAACTGCTTTGTCCTTAGGTAATTTTTTTCTTTAATTACTACTTTATAATTCATTACAAATGTTTTCAAACACACACAAAAATGGGGAGAAATTAGTATCACCAACTCCCGTAGGCACATTACATACGTGTAACAATTGTTAGCATTTTCCTTATTTGCTTGATTAACTTCCCTTTACCTCTGTATCCAAAGTATATAGTCTCATGACCTGACATCACAAGGTACTTTATATGCATTCCCAAAGCAGTAAGAGCCTTTCCCTATATAACCACTTAACAAAGTCAGTATTAATTTGGTACGATCACACTTAAGGTCAATAATAATTTCCTATCATCAGTTTCTGCCTGGTCAGATTTCTCCAGTATTCCCAGAGCTGTCCTTGGCAGCTGGACTTATGCAGACTGGGGTCCAAAAGAGGACAAGCATTACATGGGCTGTGACTCTCTGGTGTCTTTAATCTTGACTAACGCCCTCCCTCTCTTGATTGATCAGTTCATTTACGCGGCGGTGCGAGTGTCCTGTAGGACGTCCCGCTTCTGCATCTGACGGTTTCTCTGGAACGTCGTTAGCCTGTTATTCCATCTCTGTATTTTCTGCAAACGGCTAATTTTGAAAATACTCAGGTTAAACATTGTTTTAAATTTAGTAAACATGCAGAATTTTATTTTAAAATTAGTTTTATTTTTAAATTTAGTAAACATGTAGAATTTTATTTATAATTAAATTAAAGGAATAGTAAGACAATGCAATGGTTTAAAAAAAATTGTAAAAACAGTGTTAAAGGGCGTTTCCTTCCTACCCTGGCCTCCGGCCCTGGAGTTCTCTCCCCAGAGACAGTCGCTATTCATGAAAATGCTTTATCTCCATGCAGAGAGACTCTCACAAGCACAAGCGTATGTGTGTACACATCCCCCTTGTTTTATACACCTCCTTGATTTTCTAAATAACAGCTTTGTGAGACATACTTCACATGGCATAAGATTCACCCCTTTAAAGCATACAATTCAGTGTTTTTTTTGTATATCCAGGGAGTTGTGCAGCCGTCACCACTGTCTAAGTCCCAGATGTTTTGCTCACCCCCAGACAAACCTGGTACACTTCAGCTGTCACCCCCCCCCACCGCCCCCACTCCCCTGTCCCTGGCAACCGCTAATCTGCTGTCTGTCTCTACGGACTTGTCTGCTCTGGAAACTTCACACAAATAGAATCATACAACATGTGACTTTCTGTGACTGGCTTCTTTCACTGAGCAGAACGTTTTCAAGGTCCATCCACATGGCAGCTCATATCAGTTCTTCATTCTTCCATGGCTGAATAATATTCTGTTGTTATATTTGTCCATCCAGAGGTTCATGGGTGGATATTCAGTTTGTTTCTCCTTCCTGGCTGTTGTGAATCAGGCTACTTTGAATGTTCGTGTGTCCAGATTTTTGTGCGGACATCTGCTTTCGGGTCTCCCGGGCATATACCGAGGAGTGGAATTGCTAGGTCATGTGGTCACTCCATGTGTAACATTTTGAGGAACCATCAAACCATTTTTCAAAGGGGCTGCACCATTTTGCATTCCTGCCAGCAATGTGTGAGGGTTCCGATTTCTCCACATCATCGCCAACACTTGTTGTTATCTGATTTGATTTTAGGCATCCTCGTGGGTGTGAGGTGGTAGCTCATAGTGGTTTTGTTTTTCTAATTCATATTTTTCATCGAAGTGTAGTCAAGTTACAGTGTTAGTTTCAGGTGTACAGCAAAGTGATTCAATTATACATAGTCATATATATATATATTTTTTTCCCCCCAGATTCTTTTCCGCTACAGCTCATACTCGTGGTGGTTTTGACTTGCATTTCCTGGAGCTAATGATGTTGAGCATCTTTTCCTGTACTTACGGGCTATTTGTGTACCTTCTTTGATGATGTGTCTGGTCACATCCTTTGCTCATCTTTTAATTGGGTTGTTTGTATTTTTATTGAGCAGGCTAAGCATTATTTAACAAGAATACTTCATGAACGAAGCCATATGTATCATATCGTATAATATTGGGAGGCAAGTGACGTCTGGCTTTTGCTCTGCTGGCTGCTTGTGCTGAGGCGATGACAGCTACATCGTATCTGCTAAGTCATGCTTTTCCCCTTCTGAGCAGCCAGCAAGCGATGGGGTGATACTTCGGCCTCCCGCAGCTGTTCCCTCACCCATCAACCTTTCGCTTAATGTCTGTAGCAACCATCAATGGTCTCTGCCTGAATCAGTTATTAAATTAAGGGTTGCCAGATGGTGTTTTATTTTGTTTTGTCATTTGTGGCTTGGTTTCTGTCATTCTCTCTGTGTTTTCTAGCCGGCATACTTCTGTACAGAAGGGTTTTCCCTCATGCACGGGGGCTTTGGCGTCCACCGACACGTGTCAGCTGAGAAAATGCACAACCTAAAAGCTGAGAATTATTATTTGGTGGACTTTCTGAGGATCTCAAGCCTGGGAGGCAGCCTCTCAGATGGCTCTGAGGAACTGCTCCGAAGAGGTAGGGGAGGAGCCAGTATACATAGGAGTTTTTGCAACAAAGACCAGGTAGAGGTAACGTCAAAAGATTACCGTCAGTTAAAGAAAACCAGACACCTCAAGTTAAGGAATTCAGTGTTTTTCTATGTGCAGGAAGGTGCGAGAGTCTGGGCTCATTGAAATCATTCCTTTGATGTGCACCGTAGCTATCCAGGGCCCGTGTCCTGTTCTCTCCCAGCCGGAGCCCCCTCTGAGTGCGCTGTTGGGGTGGCAGCTGTGGCTGAGGGCTGGGCAGCCGGCAGCCCCTTAGTCTCCATCCTGAGTCCCTCAGGGCTCCCCGTCGGGGCGGGGCGGCTGTAGTGGCTTGATGGTCGCAGCATCCTTTGTTTGCTGAAGGGCAGGCAGCATTTTTCAGTCACACATGCCTCATTCTGGAAAGGCAGGTGAGTGTTCAGTTTTTTCCCTCTGATTTCTGACATTCAAATTAAGAGATGGTTGTTCAAATTAAGGGATTGGTATAATCCAAATTCAGGGAGTCCTGGTGCTCCAGCCAGCACAGGTGAGCACCTGACAGCTCCATCTGAGGTGTTTAAGGAAGGGCATACTTCTCCCTGAGACTGAGGGTTTGGACGAGGTCCTTTTCTTCCCTTCCCTGACCACCGCCTGTTCTGGGATGCTGAAGGACACTACTTCTTCTCTGATAGACACATCAGAAGTTAAAATGTAAAGACTGTCAGCCATTTTTAAATGTTGGAAGGTAATCTCAGGAAGAAATTTCCTGCAAAGAAGATGGGTAACTAAACTGATCCAGTCTCTCATTAGACATTAACTGGATTAAGTGTAAAACATTGACTCTTAACCGTTCCCCCTAGATTACGCCTTATTTTCATCTGCTAATCCTTTTGTTTCTAATTCAAGCCAGAGTCATTTCTCTGGCTCTGTGGAGTTAATAGAAAAAATTTGCATTTAGACTCAAGAGTTTTGTTCTGGAACTTCTGTGTGTGATCTTAGGCAAGTCCTATAAATGGAAACTCATTTTTTTCTTACATGAAGAACGAAGATGATGTTAATACAGTAACTGGAGTAAAAATGCTCTGTAAACTGTGAAGTACCACACAAGGGGGTCAGGCCCCAGGTCCCCCCTGGGCTCTAGGCTGGAATCAGTCAGTCTCCACTTTGATTGTATCATTAGTGCAGGCTATTTCTGGGACTTCTTCATCAATTTTCCCCCTCCACCCCGTAGGTTCTTTAAGGTTTCCAGCTTTTTCTAGCTGCCCGGTCTCGGTCCATGAAGCCATTCTATGAAGCTTTGCAGCGTCCATCACTTTTGCTCCCAATTTCTCTAAACTAGGCGAATGAACAGAACAGAAAGAGCACAGGCCACGGACTCTACCAGATGTGGGTCAAAGCTAGGTTCCATCAGTAGCTGGCAGTGTGACGTGACACTAAGTTAAGTCTCTTGCCATTTCCTTGTCTGTTTGATATACATGAAAGGAGTGGTTGTATTAAATTTTTGAAAAAGTGAACAGCGTTATTAAAGGGCCTCAAACTTAGCATAAGTGTTTGCTGCCTTTCCCTCCTTTGCCCTGAATTACTTCACCTTAAGTTCCGGCTTCTCCCCACCCGGGAAGCTGGCTCTTGCAACTCCCTGCGATTTCATTGTCTTCCCAGCACAGCTATTTGCCTTTCTAAAAGGAGCCCATTTGTTTCTCATTTGTGCCTACCTCCAGTATTCTTAACCGCATCTGTTTTAAAGCCGGCTTTCTGCCCTGAGGAGCTCTACGAGGCCCTGTGAGCCCAAGACGATGGCTTTTTGTTTCACTTCTCATTGCTCACTTGAATGTAAGGAATCTATAACGTGCAATTCTAGCGTATTGAGTATCTGCATTTAGGCCTTCTCCAGGGCTTCACGCCTCCTGTAAAGTCACTTTAAACCTGGACAGGAGATTAGAAGTGCTTTTTAAAACAGGGCTCACTCCCCATCAGGACTTAGTGGTGTGCCCCTCCACTTCTTGCTGTCCGTCCAGTTGAAACAACTGTACGTAAGTGACACCAGCTGTTAGCCGTGGGGGGCTGGCATTCCATGCCTCCCTCCACACCCCACCCCCACCCACCCTGGGGGCTGTTTTGTGCTGTAATTGATGGTCCTGTTGGATGAAGAGTCTGGTGTGTGCCTTGGGGTGACTGAACAGGTGTGCTCTGTAAAGGGGCGTTAAATTGTGCTGGCAACACACTGAGCTGACCGTTAACGTTGCCAAAGGAACTTCTTTATCCCAGTGTGAACTGTCAACAAGATTTAGGGCGATATTTACAATGGTCAGTGTGCTGGAGGTAGCTGTTTTTCAATTAAAAAATTAGGTATTTACTCTACCAAGAACCTCAGCAAGGCAGTATTTGGTTAGAGTTACCACAAGACGTATTAATTTTATTTTATTATTATTATTATTATTATTATTATTATTATTATTATTATTATTATTATTATTATTATTATTATTATTATTATTATTCCTCCTCTCAGTAATCCAGACACTTTCTCAGGAATGCACTCAGTTCACAAGAGTTTTGCTGTGTAATCTGCAGCTAGGAGTGTGAGCAGTGGTGCCTCTGGGACGCAGGGCACCCGAGCCTGGGCCCCGAGGTGCTAACTGCAAACGGTTAAAAGACAAACTGAGGCGTATTAAAAATGTTAAGAACTTATTTGAGCAAAAATTGACTTGGATTGGGCAGCATCCAATCTAACAGGTAGAAAGGGGCTCCGAGGAGCTGGACAAAAGAAAGACTTTTGTAGGCAGAAGGGAGCGGGCAAAAAGAAGTTATCTGGCAAAAAAAGCAGGTTGGAGGTTTGCAGATAGTAAATAATATACATAAAATAGGTAAACAACAAGTTTCCACTGTATAGCACAGGGAACTATATTCAATCTCTTGTAGTGACTTATGGTGAAAAAGAATATGAAAATGAATATATGTATGTTCATGTGTGACTGAAACCTTATGCTGCACACCAGAAATTGACACAATATTGTAAACTGACTACTCTTTAATAAAAATATATTTTTTAAAAAAGCAGGTTGGTTATGGCAAAGTTACTTTCCATGAAAGGATGGCAGGGGTCTCCCAGTAGATGACCTCACAAGTGCTGATCAAGTGGTTCCTGACTGACTGGTTTAAGATTGCACTTCCGGGAGAGTGGAAACTGCAGTTAATTAAGTCTTGGTTTGGTGAAATGGAGCTTAGCATGAGTGACTCCATTTTAGGTCTGTTGTCTTGTTTTTTTAACACAAGATAGAGAAAGGAGCTGGTGATAAACTCTGCTTGGGGAGGGCAGGAGGGCGTCACATGGAGAAATGGGACTTTGCCAAGGACATGAGCTGAGTGAGGGTCTTCGAGGCCGAGGGGACCACAGATGCAGAAACACGCCGCCTTTGTGCAGTTAAGCAGGTGAAACACCATGGTGAGTTTGGAGACGTGTAAGCAATTAAAAAAATTTTTTTTCCAGCACATGTATTTCCACTTGGCCTTCTCCTCACCAACATTCGTATCAAAACTAAAACCTGGTCCCGTGATCCATGTAAGGTTTCAGCTGGCACAGAGGTGGTGGACAGAAGATAATCCTGGCGACGGCTGTGAATACTTGTATTTATTCAGTGTTTCTTTCGGGACTCAGGGCGCTGCACCTGGGGCCTCAAGCCTCTGTAACTTTTTTAAATTACTGAACCTGTTTTCACAGCACCTCTGCTCAGGAGCGCTGTCCAGCTCACCTCCTACAACTGACACTCCTGAAAGTCTCCTCCGGTAGGGGAGGCGCGGCGGCTGCGAGGGAAGCGGTGGGCAAGTCTGCGGAAGGAGGGGTTCACGCCAAGTGCCCGGGCCCTCCTCCTGACGGAGGACGTTAGTGTGGGCTTAGCTGTGAAAGTTAACTGCCCTTCTTTGCTCAACTTTAGATCAGTCACGTCATTATCTTTTTTTCAGCTTCTTTTGGAAAATTTCAGACTTACGCACAAATAAAGAGGACGTTACCATCCACTCCCGTGAACCACTCAGTTCAACAAGTATCAGTTTATGGTTTGTCTAGTTTCACTTCTGTCCCCACCTGTCCCTCGGATCGCCCTCCCTCACCCAGACTGGGATTATTTGTCAGCAAATCCCAAATATTTTATTTCATTGTAAATATTTCAGAATGCGGCTCTAAAAAATGCCTTTTTAAAAAAACAAAACTGCAGATTCATGGGAGGAATAAATTGGGAGTTGGAGATTTGCAGATACTAACTACTATATATACCAGATAAACAACAAGTTTCTACTGTACAGCAGAGAGAACTGCATTTACTATCTTGTAGTAATCTATAACTTAAAAATATGAAAAGGAATATATATGTATAACTGACTCACTCTGCTGTACACCAAAGCTAACACAACATTGTAAATTGACTATACTTCAATTTAAAAAAAACTTGCAGAATCATGATCACACCTAAAAAGTTGATAACAATTCCTTAATACCATCCAATATTGTATAGGTTCGTAAAACATTTTATTTGGCTCCTGGTTTAAGTCAGGATCCAGGCAAAGATGCCACATCACATCTGGTAGATACGTTTCTTAGGACTTCTGAAATCTACAGGCTCCCTTTGCCTTTTTTCATGCAGTGTGTTTATTAAATAAACTGGGTGTTTGTCCTTCCGAATGTCCCATATTCTGGGTTTTGCTGGTCACATTTCTCTGATATCTTTTAAGTGTGTTTCTGTCCCCTGTTTTTTGTGTAAAGTGGAGTTAGCTCTAGAGACTTGCCTAGATGTGAGTTATCAGTTCACATTTAAACATTAAAACATTTTTTTACTTACTTTTAAAAATTTTTGGGGGGTGGATAATTAGGTTGTTTATTTGTTTACTTAGTTGTGTATTTAATGGAGGAGCCGGGGATCGCACTAGGACCTCGTGCACGCTGAGCCGTGCTCTACCACCGAGCTGTCCCCTCCCCGATCAGCACACGTTTACGCAGACCGTTTTGGTCACCACGTCACCCCCCAGCGGGAAGAACCGTGGTGACGCGTAATGCTGCGGTCCTTCCTGTGGCTCACCAGTCAGTATTGCTACAACAGCCTTGGTCTGCAGGCCTTGTCCCGCGTGAACCTGCCCGCCCCACTTCCCGGAGGGAGTCGGGAAGGAGGGGACTGACGCGTGCGAGGCGAGGCGTAGGCCCTGCAGCTGCAGCAGAGGCCAGGACGGACCTGGTCCTGGCCCGGGGCGTGCTGCCCCTGGGGAGAGCAGCAGAGCCGGCAGGTGCATAAATGGGATCGTGACGAGCTGTGGTCTGTGCCTGGAAAGAAGCAAAGAAGAGGCGGAGGTGTAGATCGGGGGTCGGGAGTGAGGGAAGGGAGGAAGAGGGTCCGCCAGAGGGGCCTACACTGGGTGGATGAGAAGGCTCCCTTAGAAGGGGGTGTTTCCTCTGAGCCCTGGGGCATGCAGGAAAGAGTCGTATGGATGTTGGAGGTGGAGGGGGTGCTGGTGGACGTGGAGAAAGTGCATATAGTTTGGAGACCGGACCCACAGGGCCTGGGATGAGAGAGAGGAAGGAATCAAGGCCGATTGCCGGCTGTCCTCATATAAGCAGCTGGGTGAATGGGTGTCACGCGTGAATCTCTCTGTGGCCTCCGTCTGGTCGCCTTGGAGACTGGGTTACTAACCTGGTCCTTGGCCTCTTTAATCAATAGAAATTGATCAGAGGCCAGATGGGAAATTCAGGCAAGTGTTTGCTGGGACTCGTGCTGCAGTGGGAGGAGGTGAAAACAAGCAACAGGTTCCCTTGCTGGCTCCCCAAGGGTGGGGCGGATGGGTGGGTCGGGCTGGGGGGGTCGGCCCACCCCCTTGGTGGTGCTGTGTGCAGGGATCATATGTGGTCCCTGCTTTTGCTCAGAAGTGGCAGTTGGGTTTTTGGTCATTTCATATCTTGTTGTTCATAATTTGCCCCAATTGCACATGCACATAGTTATTTTTGGTCTCTTAGAGTTTCTTTGTGTCCTGTTGCTCGAGGAGACATTTGTCCGGGTGCAAGTGCAGCCGGGAGAGGGTCCCAGGCCCCAGCCTGTCTCACTTGTACCCAGGTCTGGCCTCCTGGCCTCCTAAGTGCTTTTAGGCCCTTCCCTTTGTGCCCCTGCCTGTCTACGGAATTGCTCGACTTTAAAAAGATGGAGAAAAGGAGCAAGGCCAGTTAGAGCATCACAAGCTGGAGGGATTTGTGAAAAAGAGGTTGGCACCCAGACGCAAGGGAATGCTGTTCTTCACGCTGCCTTTAATGGGCGTGTCTGGAGAGAGACAAAACCCCAGACCAAAACCATTTACTAAGGAGTGTAAGGATCAAAGGAAACTTCTGGGTGCTCCATACATGACATTCACCTTTCCCCATCATCACAGACAAGTGAACTGGATGTGCCGTGAAACTGGCTGGAAGCTCGTTTCCCAGCACTGACACTAATGAGGGTCCCCCGGCCTTTGTCCGGAGTGCTTGCAGGGCTTTGCGGTACTTGTCTAAAAACCCCACTGCTAAAGCCTGCCTCTTGCGAACAGAAACATCGCTGTGCCTGGATTCTAAATAATGAAAGACACTGGCAGCATTTTCAGAATGGTTGGACGGATTTAAATTTCACTGAAAAACAGCTTTTTGAAACTGAGCGGTCTGGTCTGTATGCGGCCTCCGTGTGTGACCACTTCCCACTGGCAGCCGGCAACTGCCAGCTTCTGGTGGCTTGAGAGAGTGAGTGGTTTCCCACGCTCCCCCACGTAAACCCAGCCGGGATGTTTGTGCTGGGAGATGTTTGGATGGGGTGGGGGAGAAGAGGGAGCGAGACCAGCCGGATGGAGCTCCTTCCCCGACTCCCTTCTCTGCAGCCTGTCCCTGCGATCCAGAAAATCACTGCCGGCGTCAGCTGGTGGTGGACACTCTGTCAGCGGAACAGCTAACCGCCCGTGCAGTTTGGTGAAAAGGGGGGATTCTAGGCCCGTACTTAACTCCCCGAACTGTTATTCCTTTCCCTTCCTGGGGCCCCAATCGGCTCCACCACTGAGCCTTTTTGCCTGGCTCTTGGCAGGTTGCAGGTTTGGGCCTAAGCTCCTTTCCTGCTTGTCTGCCCGCCCCACTCCAGGAATGGGGTCTGAAAGGACGGACGAGTAAGGCTGCGGGGGGAGAGGGGAGGGAAATACGTGACCTGGAAAACCCACAGGCCTTCTGAGCAACTCCTGAAGTGCTCTTCCAATCTGCAGCCTCTTTTTTAGCGGGGAGGAGGGATGTGTTCTTTTTTTTTTAATTGAGGTCTATTCAGTCTACAGTGTGTCCATTTCTGGTATGCAGCACCGTGTCTCAGTCATCCACAGACACACATGCACTCCTTTTCGTAGTCTTTTTCGTTCTAGGTGACTGCACGGCGTTGAATTGCAGCCTCAAAGTGCAAACTAGGACTCCATTGGCAAGGCTCTCGCAGTGGATTAGGGATTTTTTTGTTTGTTTTAATTCCGGCTCTGGAAGTAAAAAGACCACTGGCGTGGTGCTGCTCGCTGCCACTGCGCGCTCACAGGAATGTGGGAGGGGCCGAGAGCTCATTCTAAGCCCGAGCACACCCACCCCCGGAAGGCTGTCGCCTGTCCCCCACTTTCCCGAGGAGTGTGGGTGTCAGCTGGGGGAGAACAGTGGAGTCTTTTCATGGGCAGAGAGAGCTGATTTCAGGAAGGCTGTACGTGTGCTGATTCAGGGGGCTGCCTTCGGAGTCGGGCCCCCTGGGTTCAGACCCTGGTGCTGCTCCTTGCTGGTAACTCTTGCCTCGTTTGCTGCCTCAGAAGAGTGTGGATAATAATGGTAACTGATCTGAGAGGCTCTTCCGAGGATTAGATGCTAATAGGAGGTCTGCATGGCGAACACGGAGTAATTGTTAGCTGGGGACCTAACACATTACACTGTTCAAAGTGATGGTGGCGTCATGGCCTGTTCACGGTGACTTGGTGACACTCATTGTCTCATCATCTGTTTCTGTTAGTCCCTCCCCGTGGTCTTCTGGACTGTGGGTGCCTCAAAGGCAGAGCCTCTGTTCTGCCTGTTTCGGGACCCACAGCGCTTAGCGCAGCCCTGGTGTGTAGTGATTATTCCGTTTGTTGAGTAAGTTAACGCCGGCTTTAAAGATGGCTTATGTTTGAGTGATGCTCCGTGTGTGGAGCCCCGCACGCACACGTGGGAAACCTGAGGCCCCAGGTGTAAGGCCCTTGCCCGAGGTCCAGAGACTGGCATAGGCCAGAGTCAGGGCCTGGGATCCTTGCCCAGCCGCCTTCCACCGGGCCAGCCTCCCCGGAAGGCCAGCTGGGTGTTACGGCTCCGGCCCTGCCTTTGTCCTGTTCCGTCGTGTCTGCGCGCCGTCGTGCTGGATGCACCGTGACCGCTGCTCAGTCTCCCGGGGGAAGGTCGTGTCTGCCCTCCTTTCAGCTATGCTTGGTTTTTGTACAGGTCACCACGAATGGCCTAATTGCCGTGAGTGAACCCCCCGCCGAGGAATCCCATCCTGGGCTCTTCCCACCGACCTTCGGAGCGGTCGCCCCTTTCCTGGCCGACCTGGACACGACAGACGGCCTGGGGAAGGTGTATTACCGGGAAGACTTATCCCCCGCTGTCCTTCGGCTGGCGGCAGAGTGTGTCCAGAGAGGGTTCCCAGAAGTCTCTTTCAAGCCCAGTGGCGTGGTGGTTGTCACTTGGGAATCTGTGGCTCCCTACCAAGGACCCAGCGAGGACCCTGCCCAGGAGGAGAAGGTAAGCACGCACTGAGGCACGAGCGCAGGCAGTCGGCGGCTTGGCTTTGTGTGCTTTGGTCTCTCGGTGTGTGCTGCTCTGATGTATGTGCCATCACCCATGTCATTGATAAAGCCAGGACACCCAGAGCAAAATCTAGTAGGCTGTCTGTTGCAGCTCTGAAACTTCCAAGACTTTTATGGGCAGGGCTACCTAAGTCCCTGCTTTAATGATGATTGGATGTCAAGAAATCCAGTTCCTAGCGGGAGGGCACAGCTCAGTGGTAGAGTCCCTGCTTAGCGTGCATGAGGTCCTGGGTTCAATCCCCAGCACCTCCATTAAAAAGTAAGTAAATAAACCTAATTACCTCCTGCCCCCATCCCCCCAAAAAAGCCAATTCCTGAGAAGATGGCCATGTGGCAGGAATAGGGTTGATAAATTGCAGCCCTGGCTGCTCTTACTTGGGGTGGTGGATGGCGGGAGATGGTGTCTAGATAAACAGGGAATTTATTACTAAGAGGTGACAGCAAAGGCTTTCGAGTGCGTAGAGCTTGCACTTGGCCTTGAAGGACGGAGGGCATTTCCAGAGGTCAAAATACCATCCCTAGATCTGGAATGACTCTTTGGAACGTGCCTCAGTTTCTCCTTGGAAAAATAATCTCGCTCCACCGTTATTTAATTTTTATAGCATTTTATAGCAATGCTATAAAAAAAGGTAGAGAGAAACTTGGAAGGTCCAAAAGCACTTCATTTAAGTGGGGAATGGTCCTGGCTGGTGGTTCCCAAAGTATGTGCCGGGGAACACAGGTCCTACAAGACCGTCCTCAAGAAAAAGGACCCCTCAGGCCACATTCGTTTGGGAAGTGCTAAAACCCTGTCTCCCTCTTGGTGACTCTCTCTGGAAATCCCTACAGTAAAGACGCTCGCTTAGTTTCGTTTAGTTCAGCTGTCCCCGAACCTTTAGGCCTAACCCCTTCCCTCCCAGATGAGACCCGTCGCACTGGACAGAGCACACTCTGGGGAGTCTTGCGTGGGCGTGTCGGACACATGTGGCTTCACCACCTGTTTGTGTTACCTGCTTGAGTGCAGTGCTTGAAAACTGCTTAAAACCTTCCATTTCTCAAGTGTGTGCCCCTTCCACTGTTTGTTTTTAAAATATTGAAATACAGTCAGTTTACAATGCTGCCAGTTTCTGACGAGGGGCAGCTACCTGACCTCTTGCAGGGAGCTCTCATCTGCGTCTGCAGCCGAATCCCCGCCCCTTCCTTCTCTGGGCCCCCTCGCAGCAGCTGTGTTAAATGTTACGCAGTTCCCTGGTCCCGGCGTTTGGCTCCTTGTTACCCGCAGTCTCCTGCGCTGGCTGTGCTCTCGGCTTCTGCCGGCCTCTCCCTGCCCCTCACTGCTCGGGTCTCACTCCTGCTGGTGCATTCAGCCTCCTCTGCCCACACCCCTGCCCACTTCAGGCACTGCCCCTGCGGCTCCTGGAGGGCGTGCACACGACTCAGTTCTGGAATCTGTCCTCCAGCGTGGCGATATTTCGTCGACAGGGCCGTCTTCCCACCTGGACTGTCAGTTCTCAGTGTGGGATCACGTGTTAGTATTCTTCGCAGGGCAACCCCTGGCACGTAGGAGCGGTGTAACATTGAGGAATACTTCCTTTGTGTCTGGCCTTCATCTGCCTTCTCAGAGTCCTCCTAACGTTTCTCCACAGTCCGTGGTTTTATCTCCATCTTACAGATTCAGAAGTCGAGGCTCAGAGCGCTGAGGTCACAGGTCCGAGGTCACAGGTCTGAGGTCACACAGCCAGTGATGAGGAGAGCGAGGGTTTGGATCCAGCTCTGTTCTCTCCCGGAGCTCATGTCTTTTCTTACTGCGTGGCGCTTGGCCATGATAAATACATGCTAAATAAGGACCGTGGCTGAATACGTTTAATGGCTGTGGAAGCAAATTCTGAGGATAATTTGCTAAAATTGCGTGAGATTTAGGCCACCGTCTGGAGGTACTATCTCTATAATTTTTGGTTAACCTTAGGGTCACAGTGATGCAGAAGGTATTTGTTAGTTAATTAGGAAGTTTCCTGTTGACATAGCCTTAGAGATACTTAAGTGGAACTATCCTGGGATGCTTGATCCTTGCTACAAAGGTGC